GCTCTTGATTCTCAGGTGTTATATTTGTTTTTGTATTCTTGCATAATGAATATCTGGGAAAATCTGTAATTCCGCGCTGCTCTATCTGTAATCGGCACACATATAATTCCCCTTCAACTCGGTCAAAAGACTTCCGTTGACGAGGGAATACTGTTCAACTGATGTATCACGATGCTGCGTTCGGGTGATAACTGTTCAATTTTTTTTTCAAAAAGACTGTCCCCAGCTGTTCATTGAACCCTCAGATGGGCCAACTAGTGTCTCATCGCTTACGGTTTCTACAAAAAGCAGCTTTGAATTTGTGGCATCCATGGTAGTTATTGTAACAGTAAGCAAGGTTTCGAATGGGTGTGGTTTACTAGGACAGAAAGCGACTTTTTCGCGTTTTACAGCGCGAAACATTCTCGCTGTGGGAACCTCAGGTCCACCGCTGATCATGTGTGGACCTGGAGTTCCTACAGCGAAAAAGGCGCTTTCTGTCCTACTGAACCACACCCGTTTCAAATTTTAAGATCTCGAAAAGAAATTGCCTCCGTTCGTTGTTTGGTTTTTATAACCCAACAGGAGTAGTCTATTTGAATTGTGAATTGAATCGGAAACAGGTGGAACTGATTAAGTTGCTGTAACAAATAAGGTGATGTGAGAAGTGCAAAGGTGCATTCACTGTTGGTCTTTTTATCTAGCAGACAGCCACCTCTCCCTATCATCCTCCCCTCTATCCTCTCCAGCTCTTCCTTCTGCACTTTGTGGTGCGCTATAGATTGCCCTCAAGAAGCAATATAATTAGTACTAGTCGGCAATTTCAGAGAACTCGCTACAAAGTACTCTGTTAGCGGCATTCCTGCTTTGATTATAATCAGCTCAGATGGCAAAGAAATAACCAAGAATGGAAGGAGCGATGTTCAGGTACGGTACTATCTACATTAATCGCTATTTTCATGATTCTTCTCATTTTCAGGGCAAAGCACCTAAAGCTGCTCTTAGTGCATGGAAATCCGCTTAACTGTCATCTTTGCCATTCTGCTTAACCATATGCAACAAAAAAGAAAGTAT